ATAAGGTCAGTATCTTTCCCCACCCTAGGGACCCACACTAATACCTCACCCTAGGGACCCACCCTATTCCCTCACCCTAGGGACCTACCCTATTCCCTCACCCTAGGGAGCTGTATATTGTCTACAGGATCGATGTTAATCTTCAAAATAAGTTCAGTATCTTTCCCCACCCTAGGGACCTACCCTATTACCTCACCCTAGGGACCCACCCTAGGGAGCTGTATATTGTCTACAGGGCTTGATGTTAATCTACGAAATAAGGTCAGTATCTTTTCCCACCCTAGGGACCTACCCTATTACTTCACCCTAGGGAGCTGTATATCGTCTACAGGGCTTGATGTTAATCTACGAAATAAGGTCAGTATCTTTCCCCACCCTATTCCTACACCCTAGGGAGCAGACATTTCTCAGTTGAGTTTGATGCTTACCTGAACGTCTTGGGTTCAATCCTGGCATTTTTCCCTTGTCATAGAGGACTGAGGGACTGACATGGAAAAAGCATCTAGTCGTACAGATGGGACAATAAACTGAGGCTACTGTGTGCTACAGGCTGTGTACGTTAAAGATCCCTCGACAGTTGGAAATCAAAAAAGGGCAGGCTAATGCCGCTGTCCAAGCAAAATTTCCGTCATTGCACACTGCATGGCCCCAGAGTATTACAGGCTGTCTATGTTGAAGATTTTTTAGGTTAATCCGCTGTCCTGGCAAAATTTCCTTCATTGCACACCTCATAGTGTTGCCTGTGAAGATGTGTTTTTGTACGTTATATTTTGTATGGAAACACAGCGTTACATGTATCAGTATTACAGAATGAATGTTGGCACGTTTCAGAATTAATGGCCTGGGGAATTAACCCTTATATCAAAAACTCGGTAGGAATATTTCTTTTAAATCATTCTTTGTTGCTTTTAATTTCTGTATTTTTCTTGAAGAGGTTATCAAGCTATTTTGGCATTTAAATTCAATTTGTAATTCCCGAAAAACCTTAAGATGGGTTCCCTTATTTTTATTTATGAAAATGAAAATGCTAATACTTATATGAATAGAAAGTAGAGGTGTTCTAATGACTTGCAAAAATACCAGTTTGTCTCACATGTCCATAATTAATTCATAATTAGCTAAATTAGAAGAGAATTACCAGCAGAATTCCAATGAGTGACCATCAAGAAAGGTCAAAAAGTCTTTTTTTTTGTTTATCCAGGCTGTAATTACATGGACATTTAAGATTGGTTAAAACTCTTAATTATATACAATAAGAACATAATGATATGATTAAGAATACATGATAATTCATTAGAAACACCAATTAATCAAATAGTTTGCTTAATTTGACACTAAAAAATAAGGAAACCAAGGTTGTCAATTCCAGCTGGCTTCTATTGAACCCTCACCCTACCTGTGCTTTCGAGAGTCAGTCGGATGTTGCCTTTCACCCCCTCGGAATAACCTAAAAAAAATTGTCATTCCAGAAAAACTTAAGTTTGATAATGTCATTCATGAAGCTAGCTTCTATTGAACCCTCACCCTACCTGTGCTTTCGAGAGTTGCCCCCACCCTCCAAATACCTACCTATAAGAATTGACTGTGCTTGTTTACTTGTTTTGAAATTGTCCTCTGTTGTATAATTTCAGGAAGGTAAAACGGCGGCAGAACTACCACATAAAAATAAATATTGGAACACAATTTATGAGAAATATTTGGTAAGAATACTTCATGATTTGTTTTAGGACAGACTGTAGTCCAATCGGTTAGAGTGTTGAAATCTTAACATGATGTGAACCTAAGTTATTATCCTTGTAAAATCAATACCAAGAGGTTTGGTCAAGGACCAGCTGGTAGAAAGGATCCTTGTGAACCTAAGTTATTATCCTTGTAAAAACTGGTTGCTTCTATCTTTAATTCTGCTGATAATATATTTTAGCCGGGTATATTTGAAGCTGTTGAAAAACGTGACGGTGATAAAATTCGAGAACTGATCAGTTATTGGACGAAAGTAGATTGTACTAGGGTAAGTCTTTAGGCTTGGTTGATTTGAGTTTTGAATATATGTAAATAGTCTTCAGAAATACTAGAAATGTACGTAAAATTGCATAATTCCTTTAAAAATATCTCAATCTAGGAATTTTACTCACTATTTCTATAGATGTCTTTTCTATATATGACAGTGTCTCAAGAAAAGACGAGTTGTCATTTTAACATTCAAACGTAGATAATTCTAGACACACATGGATTTGAAGGCTCAAATTTCGACAGTGAGCTGTGAACACTATTACTGATTAGCTTAGCTAAAAAATTCCTGTTTCTGAGACTAAGGTATGATAGGTCAAACAGATGGTGAACCTGTTCCTTTTTGAAATGAGAGCTTAATGTGGTCGGAGAGTAAAAAGAATTTCTATTTTTGTATTTTAGAACGGTCAAACTTTACGTCAGTTTGCAGCTCAGTTAAAATACCATGATATAGTTCAGATTATAGACGAATATAAGGATACTCTGGTAAGCTTCGTTCCGTACACTGGGGAGCCACGGTGGCTCTGTGAGTTCCGAGAAGCTGACATGGAAATAGGGTATAATCATTCGTATAGGACGATAAACCAAGGCCCTGTGTGTTCGGATATAGGTCAGTTGTCTGAAGATCACATAGCGTGAAACTATGAATAACAACATGTTTCAGGTTCTGTTTTAGTTGTCTGAAGATCACACAGTGTGAAACTCTGTGTAACAACATGTTTCAGGTTCTGTTTTAGTTGTCTGAAGATCACACAGTGTGAAACTCTGAGTAACAACATGTTTCAGGTTCTGTTTTAGTTGTCTGAAGATCACACAGCGTGAAACTCTGAGTAACAACATGTTTCAGGTTCTGTTTTAGTAGTCTGAAGATCGCACAGCGTGAAACTCTGAATAACAACATGTTTCAGGTTCTGTTTTACATAGCGTGAAGATCTCTGCTTGTCCAACTTCAGAAGGGACACAGGCTGAAATAGGTCAGTTGTCTGAAGATCGCATAGCGTGAAACTCTGTTTAACATGTTTCAGGTTCTGTATTAATATTTTCAGGATCTAATCTATGGTGTTTTTGAATTGAATTATGATAAAGTGCATGATGCCCTCAATAAATCCAGATGTAACGTCAATTTTTTGAATAAGGTAAAAAAAAATTACAAATACTCCATCATTTTGAAACCCTTAGCGAGCTTGTGTCTAGCATATAACACAGGCTGTAGCAGAGTTGGTTAGAGTGTTGAAATCTTCACATGATGTCATTTCCTTGGTTATGTCAAACAAATGGTGGTTGTGTGTTAATATCTCAGTCAGTGTGAAAGTTTGTTAAACTTAAATAAGACATCTTTCCTCATTATTCCAGTCGACCCAGCAGTAAATGGATACAGATAATCTGGGAAAGATCAATGCCAAGAGGTTTAACCAAGAACCAGCTGGTAGAAAGGATCCTTGTGAACCTAAGTTGTTATCCTTGTAAAATCATTACCAAGAGGTTTGACCAAGGACCAGCTGGTAGAAAGGATCCTTGTGAACCTAAGTTGTTATCC